GAAGGAAGGAGAAGCGGGAGAGAGGGAGAGGAGAAGGAATGAGAAGCAGGAGAGAGGGAGGGGAGGAAGGAAGGAGAAGCAGGAGAGAGAGAGGGGAGGAAGGAAGGAGAAGCAGGAGAGAGAGAGGGAGGAAGAAGGGAGAATCAAGAGAGAGAGAGGGACGGTGGGGAGTTGAATGGAAGAGAGGTAGAGAAAGGGCGAAGAATGAAAAAGAGAGGGAGGCGGGGGGAGGAGAAAGAAAGATGAGGGAGGGAAAGGGGAGACAGAGAAGCAAGGAATACGGATGTAGGGTAATAGCTGGAAGGCAAGTGACAGGAATGGGAGGAAATGAAAGAAGAGGAATAAGAGGAGGGAGGAGAAGAGGAAGGATATGCTGCTTGGTGACGCTCTGAAAAATCAGTCTCTTTTTCTTTAGGAAAATGACAACCTCCGTAAATGGATCTCTGTACTACGTTACGAGTTGAAGCTTTCGTAAACACTAATTGAATCCAAAACACAATTTATCCACGGAACGAAAGGCAAATATGAGCTTTTATCACGTGAGTAAAATATGCAAACGATTCGGCTAGAAATAAAACGTGCACTTGCGGAATAAAAATGGAAATAGAATTAGCAATAATTGGATATGATTAATTCTAAGCACAAGGATATTGTGGCCGATTTTCCAATTCTCTACAAACATGATGTGCTGCTGTTATCTCCTTCTCTCGTTCTGTTTCATTCCCGCATTTTGTAATATTTTTAGGTCACTTAGATTATATCCTATTGATGTGTATATCTAAAAGGAACACCTCTCTCTCTCTCTCTCTCTCTCTCTCTCTCTCTCTCTCTCTCTCTCTCTCTCTCTCTCTCTCTTTCTCTTCTCTCTCTCTCTCTCTCTCTCTCTCTCTCTCTCTCTCTCTCTCTCTTCTCTCTCTCTCTCTCTCTCTCTCTCTCTCTCTCTCTCTCTCTCTTCTCTTCTCTTTCTCTTTCTCTCTCTCTCTCTCTCTCTCTCTCTCTCTCTCTCTCTCTCTCTCTCTCTCTCTCTCTCTCTCTCGCTAAATATATATATATATTATATATATATATATATTATATATATTATATATATATATATATATATATATATATATATATTTTATATATATATATATATTATATATATATATATATATATATTTATATATTATATATATATATATATATATATATATATATATGTATGTATGTATGTATGTGTGTGTGTGTGTGTATCTATCTGTCTATCTATATCTATCTATATATCTCTATCTATCTATCTATATCTATCTATCTATCTATATATATATATATATATATATATATATATATACATATATATAAGAGACGTGTACTAATATGAATATTTCAAAGAAACCCATATCAACATATATATAGAAATATATTACTCTTTCTCTGACATTCTAGACGAAATATTCAAAGATATTTTTTTCCATTGATGGCAATGTGTTTTTTTTAGTTTATCATTAAAGGCACAAAAACTCAAAAAAAAACTGAAACTGGATTTGCAATGATTATTTGCATGACAGGAAAATACTAATTCACGAGGGAGCCATTGCACTTCCTCTGCAACATTAGCGGTTTTGCAAAATGGATTCGCTCTATTGATAGAGTGCAGAGTCAACGGTTTATCCAATAGGTTGTGTTCGTATTAATAAATCGTCAATAGGTATTTTTTTTTTTTTTAGGGAGGAGGGAGGGGTAAAGGGGGGGGTTGGATTAAATGATACCGTAGCAGGTGGATTTGATTGATAGCGAAATTCTTTCAGTCTTTTGATTTGATTTTGATCCTCACATTCATAGTAAAAAAATAAGGACACATTCCATCACACACACACACACACACAGATATATATATATAATATATATATATATATATATATATATAATATATATATATATATATATATATATATATATATATATAAATATATATATATATATATATATAATATATATATATATATATATATATATATATATATATATATATTATATATATATAACTTTAACATTCTAGCTATCAATCTTTTACTTGTCTCTCCATTTATGTCTATCTATATTCAAAATATCTCTCTTTCTATTTATCTATCTATCTCGTTACCTATCTATTTACCTATCTACCTATCTATCTATCTCGTTGTCTATCAATCTCGTTATCTATCTATCTATCTATCCATTATCGATCTGCCAATCTATACATGGAAAGGCAGTAACAATATATTCATACTTATTCTAAGCAAGATTAGAGTAAATGAATATGATCTGACGAGTTGCAGTTAAATATCAATTTAAATTTAAATATCTAATTGATAATCGAATTTAGATTGTCCGTTATTCAAATTCAGATAACAACAACAACAAATGGATATTTGAATTCTTACTTTACTTAAAAGAATTACCAATAACAACATATTTTCCGGTGATAATCAGTGATAAAGAAATAATGTTACGGTAAGTTTGTTTGTAAGTGCACTTTTAATCCTTTAAGTAGTGGGTAAGTATGGATTACACTGAATATTCGTCTTAGTCGGAGGGTCACGTGACTACAACGAATATGAAACAAGATGAAAAAAATAACGAAGCGAATTCCTTTAATCTTTAAGGGAATCAATGCCAGATGCAGACGATAACGAATAACGAAAAAAAATAGCAATGCAACGATTATCTGCATACCCAAAAAATGACTAAATTCATTACTATTATTCATTCCTACAAAGCTTTAAAAAAAAATGGTCACTGGATCAGCAAATTCGATATCAAATTCAGATGCAATCGTGACGTCATCACTTCGATTCAGCGGCAGAAAAAGACGAACACAGATACGGAGAATTTCCAAACGTGAACGCTACGTATTGAAATATAGCGTTCACTACGAGTTCCGACATCGAGTTAGCAGTAGCTGTAATTGTTATTATCATTGTTATTATTATTATTATTACTATTATTACTGTTGTTATTATTATCATTACTATTATTACTATTGTTATTATTATTATTACTATTATTACCATTGTTATTATTATCATTACCATTGTTATTGTTATTATTAGTATCATTACCATTGTTATTGTTATTATTACTATCATTACCATTGTTATTGTTATTATTACTGTCATTACCATTGTTATTGTTATTATTACTATCATTACCATTGTTATTATTATCATTACTATCATTACCATTGTTATTGTTATTATTACTATTTTATTACCATTGTTATTATTATTACTATTATTACCATTGTTATTATTATTATCACTATTATTACCATTGTTATTATTATTATTACTATTATTACCATTGCTATTATTATTATTACTATTATTACCATTGTTATTACTATTATTACTATTATTACCATTGTTATCATTATCATTACTATTATTACCATTATCATTACCGTGTGTGAACGGAAACGCACAGGAAAGGAATAAACATCTACATTTGTTTAAGCATAAGGCAGGGAATGAATACTCACTCACTACAATGGGAATTAAGACAATTGATATAGATATAATATGCCATTTATTCAAAATATTTGTCTTCTAAGATTGGTTTAATCAAACCGAAGTCATTTCAACTTGAGTCACACTAAACACTTAAAGCCTCTTCTGCCTTATTCATCGTCGTCATCGGCCTCTGGCACAGCGTGGCGTCGAGGCGTCGGGCCAGGAGGACCCCGAAGGACTCCCCGAAGGACTCCCCGAAGGACTCCCCGAAGGACTCCTGGCGCAGCGCAGGACCGGGCCGAGGAGGGGACGGCGCTTGAGGAGCAACTCCAGGATTCGCCGCCAGGGCCAACTCGAGGCCGAAGTGCAGTTCCAAGTTCTCGTAGGAATCGTCGGGAATGTAATCAGTGGAATCGCTGCGGCGATTCCCACGCTCAGAGCTGCCAGGACAAGCCACCTCATGACGCCCATGACAGAAATGACAGTCGCTCCTGACGAGAGGTTGACAGGATCAGCTCCTATTTGTGCCGCGACGGAGGATCACTCGGGGTCCCAGGTCCTGCTCCCGGCCATTCCTGGATTCCCATTCCTGGATTCCCATTCCCGTTTCGCGCGAAGGAATTGGGATCCAGGGACTATTCTTGCTGACTCATGTTTCAATTGGCCTCATAAAGCAATGACTAAGCATATATCATAACTGTCCCTTCTTCCCTTTCTCAATCAGCTTTCGAAAGCAATGACCAACATTTTTTGCATTGAATTTGAGGAGATTGAAAAAGTAGAAAATCAGCAATATATAAGCACCAGGAAGCAGATCAGAAAGGGTAACACTCTCTCTCTCTCTCTCTCTCTCTCTCTCTCTCTCTCTATCTATCTATCTATCTATCTACCTTTCTCAGTATCAGGATGAGGCTGCTTGATGAGAGGGGGGGGAAGGAAAGAGGGAAAGAAAGAACGACAAAGACAGACAGGGAGACAGACATTTATCTTCCTATATATGAACAAAAAAACATCAATTTTCATCCAGATATTTTCCAGAATCAACTAGACCGCCATGAGGAACGACACAAACCATGTCCGTTTTAAGTTTGTATTTCCTCAAAACCTCTTCCAGATCGGAGACAAATCGGTTCACGAAAAGGAAGACACTTGCAGTCCTTGCAAATGTTGCAATAGTTTTCCTTTATCTTTATGTGTATATTCTTTATTGTATTTGAAAGAGTGAAACTAACAATTTTCACATTTATTCAGCACTTGAGTAAATCAAAGATGTTTCAAAGATATTCTTACGGTTCGGAAACGGTAATGAAACAAATTCACTTCTTAATATTTAGCCTTTTACTAAAAATTGGGTGTTTTGGAATTTGGATGTCATAAAATAAATCTACTCTACTTGCTATTATTACCATTATCATTACCGTGTGTGTACACAAACGCGCAGGAAAGGAATAAACATCTATATCTGTTCAAGCATAAGAAAGGGAATGAATACTCACTCACTACGATGGGAATTAAGACATACAATTGATATAGATATATTGCCATTTATTCAAAATACTTGTCTTCTAAAATATAAGAAAGTTTAATCAAACCGAAGTCGTCATATCAATTTGTCACACTAAACACTTAATGCCTCTTCTGCCTTATTCATCATCCTCATCAGCCTCTGGCACAGCGTGGCGTCGAGGCGTCGGGCCAGGAGGACCCCCGAAGGACTCCCGAAGGACTCCCGAGGGACTCTTGGCGCAGCGCAGGACCGGGCCGAGGAGGGACGGCGCTTGAGGAACAACTCCAGGATTCGCCGCCAGGGCCAACTCGAGGCCGAAGTGCAGTTCCAAGTTCTCGTAGGAATCGTCGGAATGTGATTCGTGGGAATCGCTGCGGCGATTCCCACGCTCAGAGCTGCCAGGACAAGCCACCTCATGACGCCCATGACAGAAGTGACAGTCGCTCCTGACGAGAGGTTGACAGGATCAGCTCCTATTTGTGCCGCGACGGAGGATCACTCGGGTCCCAGGTCCTGCTCCCGGCCATTCCTGGATTCCCATTCCCGTTTCGCGCGAAGGAATTGGGATCCAGGGACTGTTCTTGCTGACTCATGTTTCAATTGGCCTCATCAAGCAATGACTAAGCATATTTTATGACTGTCCCTTCTTCCCTTTCTCAATCAGTTTTCGAAAGCAATAACCAACATTTTTTGCACTGAATTTCAGGAGGATTGAAAAAGTAGAAAAATCAGCAATGTATAAGCACCAGGAAGCAGATCAGAAATGGTAACTCTCTCTCTCTATCTATCTCTATCTATCTATCTATCTACCTTCTCAGTATCAGGATGAGGCTGCTTGATGAGAGAGGGCGGGAGAGAGAGAGAGAGAGGGGAAGGAAAGAGGGAAAGAAAGAACGACAAAGACAGACAGGGAGACAGACATTTATCTTCCTATATATGAACAAAAAAACATCAATTTTCATCCAGATATTTTTCCAGAATCAACTAGACCGCCATGAGGAACGACACAAACCATGTCCGTTTTAAGTTTGTATTTCCTCAAAACCTCTTCCAGATCGGAGACAAATCGGTTCACGAAAAGGAAGACACTTGCAGTCCTTGCAAATGTTGCAATAGTTTTCCTTTATCTTTATGTGTATATTCTTTATTGTATTTGAAAGAGTGAAACTAACAATTTTCACATTTATTCAGCACTTGAGTAAATCAAAGATGTTTCAAAGATATTCTTACGGTTCGGAAACGGTAATGAAACAAATTCACTTCTTAATATTTAGCCTTTTACTAAAAATTGGGTGTTTTGGAATTTGGATGTCATAAAATAAATCTACTCTACTTGCTATTATTACCATTATCATTACCGTGTGTGTACACAAACGCGCAGGAAAGGAAATAAACATCTATATCTGTTCAAGCATAAGAAAGGGAATGAATACTCACTCACTACGATGGGAATTAAGACATACAATTGATATAGATATATTGCCATTTATTCAAAATACTTGTCTTCTAAATATAAGAAAGTTTAATCAAACGAAAGTCGTCATATCAATTTGTCACACTAAACACTTAATGCCTCTTCTGCCTTATTCATCATCCTCATCAGCCTCTGGCACAGCGTGGCGTCGAGGCGTCGGGCCAGGAGGACCCCCGAAGGACTCCCCGAAGGACTCCCCGAGGGACTCTTGGCGCAGCGCAGGACCGGGCCGAGGAGGGGACGGCGCTTGAGGAACAACTCCAGGATTCGCCGCCAGGGCCAACTCGAGGCCGAAGTGCAGTTCCAAGTTCTCGTAGGAATCGTCGGGAATGTGATTCGTGGGAATCGCTGCGGCGATTCCACGCTCAGAGCTGCCAGGACAAGCCACCTCATGACGCCCATGACAGAAGTGACAGTCGCTCCTGACGAGAGGTTGACAGGATCAGCTCCTATTTGTGCCGCGACGGAGGATCACTCGGGGTCCCAGGTCCTGCTCCCGGCCATTCCTGGATTCCCATTCCGTTTCGCGCGAAGGAATTGGGATTCCAGGGACTGTTCTTGCTGACTCATGTTTCAATTGGCCTCATCAAGCAATGACTAAGCATATTTTATGACTGTCCCTTCTTCCCTTTCTCAATCAGTTTTCGAAAGCAATAACCAACATTTTTTGCACTGAATTTCAGGAGGATGAAAAAGTAGAAAAATCAGCAATGTATAAGCACCAGGAAGCAGATCAGAAATGGTAACTCTCTCTCTCTATTCTATCTATCTATCTATCTATCTACCTCTCTCAGTATCAGGATGAGGCTGCTTGATGAAGAGGGGGAGAGGAGAGAGAGAGGGGAAGGAAAGAGGGAAGAAAGAACGACAAAGACAGACAGGGAGACAGACATTTATCTTCCTATATATGAACAAAAAACATCAATTTTCATCCAGATATTTTTCCAGAATCAACTAGACCGCCATGAGGAACGACACAAACCATGTCCGTTTAAGTTTGTATTTCAAAACCCTTCCAGATCGGAGACAAATCGGTTCACGAAAAGGAAGACACTTGCAGTCCTTGCAAATGTTGCAATAGTTTTCCTTTATCTTTATGTGTATATTCTTTATTGTATTTGAAAGAGTGAAACTAACAATTTTCACATTTATTCAGCACTTGAGTAAATCAAAGATGTTTCAAAGATATTCTTACGGTTCGGAAACGGTAATGAAACAAATTCACTTCTTAATATTTAGCCTTTTACTAAAAATTGGGTGTTTTGGAATTTGGATGTCATAAAATAAATCTACTCTACTTGCTATTATTACCATTATCATTACCGTGTGTGTACACAAACGCGCAGGAAAGGAATAAACATCTATATCTGTTCAAGCATAAGAAAGGGAATGAATACTCACTCACTACGATGGAATTAAGACATACAATTGATATAGATATATTGCCATTTATTCAAAATACTTGTCTCTAAAATATAAGAAAGTTTATATCAAACCGAAGTCGTCATATCAATTGTCACACTAAACACTTAATGCCTCTTCTGCCTTATTCATCATCCTCATCAGCCTCTGGCACAGCGTGGCTCGAGGCGTCGGGCCAGGAGGACCCCGAAGGACTCCCGAAGGACTCCCCGAGGGACTCTTGGCGCAGCGCAGGACCGGGCCGAGGAGGGGACGGCGCTTGAGGAACAACTCCAGGATTCGCCGCCAGGGCCAACTCGAGGCCGAAGTGCAGTTCCAAGTTCTCGTAGGAATCGTCGGGAATGTGATTCGTGGGAATCGCTGCGGCGATTCCCACGCTCAGAGCTGCCAGGACAAGCCACCTCATGACGCCCATGACAGAAGTGACAGTCGCTCCTGACGAGAGGTTGACAGGATCAGCTCCTATTTGTGCCGCGACGGAGGATCACTCGGGGTCCCAGGTCCTGCTCCCGGCCATTCCTGGATTCCCATTCCCGTTTCGCGCGAAGGAATTGGGATCCAGGGACTGTTCTTGCTGACTCATGTTTCAATTGGCCTCATCAAGCAATGACTAAGCATATTTTATGACTGTCCCTTCTTCCCTTTCTCAATCAGTTTTCGAAAGCAATAACCAACATTTTTTGCACTGAATTTCAGGAGGATTGAAAAAGTAGAAAAATCAGCAATGTATAAGCACCAGGAAGCAGATCAGAAATGGTAACTCTCTCTCTCTATCTATCTATCTATCTATCTATCTACCTCTCTCAGTATCAGGATGAGGCTGCTTGATGAGAGAGGGCGGGAGAGAGAGAGAGAGAGGGGAAGGAAAGAGGGAAAGAAAGAACGACAAAGACAGACAGGGAGACAGACATTTATCTTCCTATATATGAACAAAAAACATCAATTTTCATCCAGATATTTTTCCAGAATCAACTAGACCGCCATGAGGAACGACACAAACCATGTCCGTTTTAAGTTTGTATTTCCTCAAAACTTCTTCCAGATCGGACAAATCGGTTCACGAAATGAAGACACTTGCAGTCCTTGCAAATGTTGCAATAGTTTTCTTCTGTTTTGTATGGCTTTTATGTGTATATTTTTCATTCTGTTTTGAAAGGTGAAACTAACAATTTTCAATTTATTCAGCACTTGAGTAAATCAAAGATGTTTCAAAGATATTCTTACAGTTCGGAAACGGTAAGGAAACTCACTTCTTAATATTTAACCTTTTACTAAATTGGGTGTTTGGAATTTGGATTTTCTCTCTCTCTCTCTCTCCTCTCTCTCTCTCTCTCTCTCTCTCTCTATCCAGAAAACATGGTAACTATCAATACCATTCACCAAATCGCTAGCCTATCCGAGCAGGGTATACAAGTATCACTATACTGGATACCTTCTCATATAGGGATATCAACCTGTGACAACGTAGATAAGTTAGCAAAGCAAGCACTTTCCCATGAAGAACCATATTATGTAATACCGCTATCTATCAGTCAAATGAAAAAACGTGTTATCAGCTGTCTTCGAGATTATGAGGGCCAGGTATGGACCACTGAAAAATTGAAGAAAAGTGGACATGGTACCATCTGGCATTATGATAGTATTGTCAGGTCATGTGATGCTGACAAACCATATAAATACTACGATGGACTGTCTCGGAGACAGCAGGTCACGCTAACCAGGCTACGCATAGGGTATCAATACACTATACATTATGTACAGGATGCAGTCTTGGAGGCAAAGCCAGTTACGTATCACCAATGCAAAATGTGCAAGGCGCCCAAGTCGCATAATCTTACACATTACTTACTTTGTTGCTCAAAAACTGCATCCTATCGATCAAATAGCACTGTCCAGAGACCAGCACTTATTGATTATATTAATTTTATCATAGACACTGGTCTTGTCTTCGATATGATTAGGGATATAAAAGGTTTTTTACCAACTAGATGATATGTGAATAATGTATGCATAATGACACAGCCCTTCAGGCATGTAGAACTAATGTTTGACTAATAGCCCTTTACATAAATATAAGCATAGCCAGTTGGATAGATGCGGTAGCATCTTACCCTGGCTTTTTACAGGGCATGTACACTGTTCTGTAAATAAATATTATCAAATCAAATCAAATCTCTCTCTCTCTCTCTCTCTCTCTCTCTCTCCTCCCTCTCTCTCTTCGATTATTATTACTCTCTTCTCCTTCACCTTATCATTTTTATTTTCCTCTCTCTCTATCTATCTATCTATCAACCTTTCATCTATCTATCTATCTATCTATCTACTATCTATATCTATCTATCCATCTATCTATCAATCTACCTTTCTATCTATCTATCTATCTATCTATCTATCTATCTATCTATCTATCTATCTATCTACCTTTCTATCTTTCTATTTATCTATTTATCTATCTACCTTTCTCAGTATCAGGATGAGGCTGCTTGATGAGAGAGGGCGGGAGAGAGAGAGAGAGGGGAAGGAAAGAGGGAAAGAAAGAACGACAAAGACAGACAGGTAGACAGACATATATCTTCCTATATATGAATAAAAAAAAAACTATCAATTTTCATCCAGATATTTTCCAGAATCAACTAGACCGCCATGAGGAACGACACAAACCATGTCCGTTTTAACTTTGCATTTCCTCAAAACCTCTTCCAGATCGGAGACAAATCGGTTCACGAAAATGAAGACACTTGCAGTCCTTGCAAATGTTGCAATAGTTTTCCTTTATCTTTATGTGTATATTCTTTATTGTATTGACAGAGTGAAACTAACAATTTTCACATTTATTCAGCACTTGAGTAAATCAAAGATGTTTCAAAGATATTCTTACAGTTCGGAATGGAAACGGTAAGGAAACAAACTCACTTCTTAATATTTAACCTTTTACTAAAAATTCACTCACTTAATATTTAACCTTTTACTAAAAATTGGGTGTTTTGGAATTCGGATATCATAAAATAAATCTACTCTACAGACTAACTGGGGAAAGGTTGATTTTTTATATGTTTGTTCATTGTTCACTCCAATTACCCATATTTACTTCAGAGCGAGGAAAAAATAATCTTTTCTCGTTCAAAAGAATGTTTCAATTTTAACGCCCAGAGAATTCCTTGACAGTTTACTATGTAATCTATCCTTGTCTTCTGTAATCCAGGCTTATATTCTCGCTAATCATATAAAAAAAATACCATTCAGTACATGTACAAACAAAAGGAACTGCTGAATGTTCATCCTTTATTTATTTCTGCCACAATACACTCTGTGAAAAATTTGAATACAATATTTTTCGAAGGATAATTTAGTTCAATAATCTGTAAAGACTGTAACTGACGTTCATCTTGCTATCTTGCTCTACATTAATATATATTTCAATAGGACAAGCAATACTAGTTACGGGAAATACATACTATTTACACCAATTTTCTTCTATTCTCAGTATCCACGGGTTTTCGTTATAAGTTGAAGACACGAAAGACTAGGAAGAGGAAACTTTTAAGAAACTGGTTGTCGCAGGAAAGAATAAAGGGATGCTCCTTAAGTCCAACTCCGGGAATCCTTGGTAAGATGAGGCCTATATCGCTGGCTGGGCGATGCGGAGAGCTGGGGGGGGGGGGGGGGGCAAGGAGAGAGAGAGTGCTTTGTGACCATCATTATGTCGCTTTTAATTTGAGTGAAATCGTGTTCCTGTATGACCTTTTTAATGTTGATATTTCGACTGAGGTTATATTCCTGTATGACCTTTTTAATGTTGATATTTCGACTGAGGTTATATTCCTGCATAAGTTTTTTGTTACTATTGATTCCATGACCATGTTGATAATAATTTCATGACCATGTTAATAATAATTAATGATAAAAAGAGATTTTCCTGAGAGCGTCACCGAGCAGTATATCCTTTCTCCTTCTCCACCTCCTGTTCCTCTTCTTTGATTTCCTTCCATTCCTGTCACTTGCCTTCCACTCTCACCCTCCATCCGTATACCTTGCTTATTTGTCTCCCTCCCTCCTCTCCTTCTCGTCCATTCTCCTTCCCCGCCTCCCACGATTCTTTCCCTCTCCTCCTCTCACTCCCTCTCTCTTCCATTCAACTCCCTACCGTCCCCTCTCTCTCTGTTCCTTCTCCTCCCTCCCTCTCTCCTGATTCTCCTTCTTCTCCCCTCCTCTCTCCTGATTCTCCTTCTTCTCCCCCCTCTCTCCTGATTCTCCTTCCTTCCTCCCCTTCGCCCCTCTCTCCTCCCTTCCTCCCACTGCCCTCCGTCCAGGCGTCCTCGCGGAAGAGTCACACTTGCTCGCCTGATCACTGCCTCTGGGACCGCCCGGCAGCGCCTCCGTTGGCACTGCGCGGCACTCGTCTTGGGCGCGGAAGGAGAGGAGGGCGAAGGTGCAGCCGCTGTGCCAGGGTTTGTTCAAGGGTTCCCGGGAGGCTTTGTGCGTGCTCAGTGTTCAAGCATTATGCAGATTTATTCTTGTTTGTGCGGAAGCGTCTGTTCACCAGTATAGGCGCAGGAGAGAGGAGTAAACATCTTTGATGAAAAAAATACATTTTTTGTATGTAAAATGTACAGGGAAGGGAATGAGT